CTGTACTTGGCACCTGCCCCAATTAGCTCATGATGTCGTCATCCCCAGAGTTAAGGAATAAACTCCCTCTTCTGTAGTCAATGACAACCCGGGGTCACTACTGCAGGTCAGCTGGTTGGACCCCTCGGGTGGACCACTGTCACAGCCCCCTGCCCAGCTGACAGCATCAATCGCCACTCTGCTCAAGAATCTTCAACAGCCCTCCATGCAAGAGTATAAAATTGACCATGGCATTCCCACCTCCCCATCACAGCCCGTCGACCTGTTGAGCACCGTTCTCTCCCCTGGCCCTGAGGCTCTGCGTCCCCAGCTCCCAGCCACTTGTCGGGTACTGCCTCACCTCCACACCTCTGCAGGCACCCCACCCCCACCCTGTCACCTTGGAGAGAAAGCACACATCCCTTCCTGCTACGTCCTGACAAAATCAGTCCATCCTATCTGCACGCGGAAGTTTTTTGTTTTTTTGTTTTTTTCACCAGCGCTACATCTTTCATAGCTTACTCTGGTTTAGTACCATCTTTGATGCTTAAACAAGCATTCCATTCCTTCCTCCGATTAATAGCTGTCTATCGTGGCGGGCCCTAAGCTAGACGCCGGGTTAACAGCAGTAACCAGGGGATTCCTACCCTCACGGAGCTCGCCATCTAGCAGAACTTACTGACTGTAAACAAGGGCAGGTGATGCCCGTAATAACGGTCTTTGGAAAACCAGGAGCTGTCTGGCGCGCAAATGAAAACAAGTTTCTGGAAACCCTGCGTCAAGCCGGGCCTTTGGTTTCAGTAAACAGAAAAGGAGAGCGCATGAGACATCATGTGGTGCTCACGGTGAGCTGTGCATCCCCACCCATGGACACAGGTCCTGCGGGGACGGCGGGCTCCTCGCCACCCTCACCTGGCCTCGCTCCAGGCCCCGGGCAATGGCCCCCAGCTCTCGGTCAGCGGCATCGCTTCCCATTTAGCAAGTAGGCGGAGGCGCCTCCGGGACAGCCAGCCTCCCCTCCGCTCCCGCTCGCCCACTCACGCCCTCGGCGGCCCCGCCCCGCGGCCCCGCGCCGCCGCGGCCCGGCCGTTTCCAGCGCGAACGCGCGCCCAAACGGCGCCCCC